ACTAGCTTGGTCTTCTCTCATAAGACAATGCTACCAAGCCAGGAAGGTGAAGACTACTGCTGAAGCACATGAAGCCAGCCACTGCATATTTCCCAATTGCACTTAATGAAACATCACTGCATATCAAATAACAGACAACTGCACTGGCTAGCATCACGCTGAGAAATGGAAGGACAGTCATCCTACCCACCCACATGCTCTCTTGGACTCAGATAGCTGGATGGCAAAGGATGGCTGTGGCATTGCCAGGAATCAAATTTGCAGTCTCCTGAAGACAGTGCCAGTGCTTGAGTGCTCTGATTTTAAAATAAGATATCAACAAGCAAAAATGTATGGGAAAAACTCCTGTAGTGGACTGATAAAGGCTACACCTGAACTAAACGCCATGTTGTTTTTCAGGTTTTCCATCCAGCTCTGCATTACTGTAAGCCATGTTGATGCCAGTTTAAGGTGTCAGTTTCACTGGCCTAGAACACAATAGAGAGCAAGGGAGAGTTGGGTGGGTTTTGTTCTCAAGAACACTGTGTTCTATTACGGAGCTGCTCTTTTGTTCTCAAGGGTCCTTGGGTAATGTTAGGATTCAATGTAAATGGATATGCACATCAGTTTTTTTGCTTTTATTCACTCTTTTAACCCTTTATGTGCTATGCATATTATTCAGTTAACCTATTAGCTTATTATCCAGTAGGTCAATTTAAATTATGGGGTAACTAACTATTATGAAACTAACATGTAATATCTAATAACTGTGAAGAAGTTCCCATCAATGGGTGCTAGAGTTTGAGGGGTTTATAACAAACATCCTCAAGGCAGTATGACTCCTTAAGAAATATGATCCCTAGGTCTTAAAATCTATTCAGGGAATCATCCGTAAGCTACATTAAATGTATATGACACCTTTAGAAAAGCATAAAACCATCATAATATAAAACAAATGTACTAACTTTAAAAGGTGACAAGGTGAACAAGGAACAAAACTAGCACCAGGAGTAGAAATACTCAAGAACTAGGAAATAACAGCATAGAAACTCTATAACAGGTGTGCAATTACATAGTTTAATAGTTGTCACTAATAATAAATGTCACACTAAATGGTTTCAGGTTCTCAAATGTAAGACAAGCCTATATGTTCCTCTTTCTATTTCTGCCCAGACACTTCTAGGAAGATTTACCCCTGTTTTAAGTTTTCTCTATTTAGAAATAATGGCTCTCACTATGGTTTGCTGGATTCCCAGAGCCTTAGAATTGGCTCTGTAACCCTTTCCAAACTCATGTATTTCAATAACTTTCTTTCTCAAATCTTCCAGAATTTCTTTTGACCACGGCATCACATGGCACATGGTACTGTGAGGCTTGCTGAGGCCTTTAGCCTATCTTACTTTGCTGGAAAGGTTCTGTATAAAATTATGTTTAGATTCCACAGGGCTGGCCATAATCAAGCCTGAGTGTGTCTAGTTTAATTGACCCCAGTTAGTAACTATATTTGGTGGATTGCTTAATTAACAATTATTTGTTTCACACAGAGCCTGTTGGTTTTGGATAACTTTTATTCTGCAAGAAATTAAACAGTCATTAAACAGTATTTTGTGTTTACTCAGGTTGTCTTTGTCTTATATTGAATTTTGTTCAAAGATCAAAGAACATTTAAGCGTGACAAATATGCAAGAATAGAAGAAATCAGAATATTTTTTTTCATGACATTACTAATGATTATAGTTAGGGGCTAGGGAGAAAACAAGAATACAAATAGGTTTATGCAATAATGACAAGGGAGAATCCAAAGTGGAGTCATGAGGAATTATGTTCGTTGCTTATTGATTCAACCTGTCTATTAACAACAAGAGGCATTGTTTTCCAGCTTGGTGTACAGATTTCATGTGGCATCAGAGAACATACCAGCTGGTGATACATTTCAACTGGTAAACTTGAATAACCCGGATATGCCTGAATTTATCATCTGTCTTTATAACTTTGTTGAACATTCAAATACAACTTCCTTGTGGTGAACAGAGAACTCAGAGTCATCCAAATAAACCATTAGAAGCACTACAGGGTCAAGCATGGTAGTGTTTCAGACATTCCTGTCTGTTCTATCATACAAATGCAACACATGTATTAGCATCTAACTGACACAATGTGAGATGAGCTTTTGTTCACTGCTGGCCAAAAAGTGCACTTAGCTCCTGATGTTAGTGAAGCACTGATGAGCTGAAATTAAAGAAGGGATTGGTGTGTAGAGTAATGCATGCTCATACTCAGGAATACAGCCAAATGTCAGCTTTTACAGCTTTATTGTTATATGTACTGTACAAAGAAATAAAATGTTTATATTAAATATTTCACATAACTAATAGTGGAATCCAATGGATAAACATCTTTCATGTCCACTTTGACTTTCAGTATAGGTCTGTATATTAGTAATTGAGTAATCTACAAATTATTTTGACAAGTAACCAGTGTTTAAAAAAGAATGATAAAAATTGGCTTTACAGAACAATAAAAAGTCTTTTTACAGCCTCTTTCTTTTGTCTTTGTGATTCGTAACAGCAAACATCACATGCAATAACTACAAACATGCATGCATTCATGAAATCCTGCTAGTGTAGAGCATCTTATTTCAGTGATGTTCACAAAAGTGATTTTAATCAAACTTTTGTGGAGGATCTTCTGCCTGCTAAACATGGCTTTATACCCTGTTTATCATTCAAGTTGTAAACTAATCATTACAGATTCATCAAGAATGCAAATTGCAATGCAAATTATTGTCTTAACCTCAGAAATACAGGCATTTGTATCACTTCAGCTCACCAGAGAACACTAAACACACAATAACGTGGGAGTCCAAAATAAATAAAGGACATAAATGCTTCATGGAAAAATTCACAGCTTTTAGAGTACGATAACATCAGTGAATGTCCACAGAGTGAGCTTGCAAACAATAAACTAGTTGGCAAAAAGCTAAACATGCACACATTCCAGCAGGGGGCGTGCTGGGTCCTCATGGTCTGTAGCACCTCTGTAGACATTTTACGCAAACACTGGCTCCAGTGAACGAACATCTAGTCCCTGCTGAGGACTCACTCTCTCAAATGCCAGCAGCTTTTGAGAGAGAAAATGAACTGTTTCTCTGAAAGTGGCTGTAGCAGCAACTTTAAAGCACAAACTGCATGTTAACGTTAGTCAACGTTAGTTCCTCTGCTTGTCAGCTGACAAACCACTGAAACTGTGATAAGGTTGGTTTTGCTTCAAACTTAAACACGTGAGTAAACTATACACCCTCTACTCCTCATCGTTGTTGCTTTAGCGGTAGCAGTGTTACCCTGAAATGACTACTTCAGGCAGAAAAATGCGGAAATGTGAAAAGGGCCTATTGGATGTTGTTGTGCTTTCTAACATTCACTGTTCCTTTCTTGTCTTTTCATGTACTGTATGTCATTTTGTCTATTGGCAAAAAAGCATGGTTCATCCACTGCAGGAAAAATAAAAATGCTAACTTACTGTAAGAAAAAATCAGAAACTGCTTCACAGAACTATGTTTCATGACCTAAAAAAGAAAAGTGCAGAAATGCAGTTGAACCACATAACCACTGAGTCATTGAGAAACATGCTTGTCCTTTGGATGAATGCAGCTGAAACTCTGAATGGGTCTTCCACAAGGATGAAAGGTAGAGCTTTTGGTCTGTGGCTAAGCTTTTAAATGCTGGTAGATGCAGGGTGGACCGGACGCAAAAGAGCTGTGGTGCACACAGTGCTTCTGGTAAATACAGCTGCCCAAAATGATTCACTACTTATTTAAAGACAGCAGAAATAGGCCTTAAAAAAATCTCAGGTTCGCAAGCTTACTTCACATTTTGACTGAAAGATTGTCCATTTCTCTGAGGCAGACTTGTAGAGTGTTGAAGGTCTGTGTTAATCGCTCGCTGGCTGACCTCTGGCTTCAGAAAGCTCTCGGATTACCCTCTCACACTGGAGGGCCTTTGTTCAGATGGGAGTTGGTCAGCTTACTTGCCTGAGTTTCACACCAAATGTCTCTGTCTGACTTCCTTCGTGCCTCCAGGCTATGACAACAGGGTGCACTCTATTAGCTAGTTTGAGATGTTCTGGGGAAAGTGCTTCTCTTTGTGTGTTATTGTTTAGAAGCACAGGAAATGTCACTATACCTACAGCGATGGACAAGCCAGACCAAATGATATGAGTTCAGTGGTTGTAGTGCATGAACATTAGTACTGCAAATTGTAGAAAATGTAGTAGAAGATACATTTGAAGATCTGTGGACAAAGATTAAGCCTAGTCACAGACTAATCTCGATGTTAATGGTGTCACTATTAAAAATCTCATTAGGTCCAGGCTTGGGCTTGACCTGTGTCTGAGAAACCAGCATTTAAAATACAATCACGTTGTACTGATCTACACTTGGATGCTGATATTGTCCTGGAATGACCTGTGAGAAGATAGTAATTTCTATAAAAGTAGTCTAACAAACATAATTAGTTTCCTTAGTTTTTGGTATTGAAAAAAGGGAATTGTCTCTTGTTTCATGGTGCAAGAAAGGAACAAATCAGTGGGTTTGAAGCCCCAACTGTTCTGATTATTGTTCACTGACAGTGTAGGGGTGTGTCAGGTATCAAAATACCCCTCATTTTAAAACCGAATTGGTGACAAAGGGTCAAACACAGTTGCAATCCCATTCAGTTACTTTCAATAATGACACTACCTAAGACCTTCTGACAAAACACATCACTGGAAAGGACCACAAAGTTCTCAAACCCACCCATATCTTTTTCTTTTTAGTTTGTGCCCCCACTGGTGAAATATAACCCCTCAGACCATGTGAAAAAGACTTCAGTCTACTTTTTCCTACCCTAATTCTAAAGGCTGAACTGACTGTATTATGAAACATAAGAACATATACGATAGGTTCTACAAAGGATGGCTCGGTTGTGATTGACATATATGAAACAATACCAGCAGAATTAGATAACTGACTAATAATGAAGTAGCCTATTTATAAAAGAAGCCTCACAGCACTGGGTACTGAGCAGAGCACAGACAGATTGAGAGCATCTCATTGGAGTGGAAGCATCGGTAAGCACAGAAAATCTCTCATTTAAAACACTGATTCAAACACAGACTCTTGTCTTTAAATCTTTTGTTGTTTGTTTGTTTGTTGTTGACTTCAACCTACAGGCAAAATGAAGGTGTTGGTAAGTCTCATTTTGTCTGATATACGCAGATCCATTGATGCTAATATTGAAGTGCCTTATATTATCATTTCATTGTCTTGTTTCATTTAGTTCAAAGTTCTTTTTTGTTTGGATTATATTGCCATTTTCTGTTTCCTGGTTTCCTAGATCTTTTCCATGGCCTTGATTGGAGCCAGTTTTGGTAAGCATGATGAAAACTGGCCTACTCAATCATTGAAATCAAGTATTATTGAAATGTTTCTAATTCTCAATCTTTTGTTTTCTGTTTTCAGGAACTGTGAAGCTTGCTCTACCTCCACGTAAGATTTCAGTTACCTTCTTACATAATAAAGATATATGTTAACGAGTTGGTTTTCAGGATCTCATAGAATTAAAAAATGAATTCAAAATGGGCTGTATTTTCAGCATGGTTTCCATATATAGACAGTATGGACAGAGTAATGAATTGAACATTTTGAGACTAACAATGTTTACATATTACTTCAAAGTCCATATTTAAAAAAACTAGGGACGTTCAGTTTTCCATGATGTGGGATCTTTAACTTTGGACTACATGTAGACAGGCAGTAATGGCAAAGCTAATGATCTGAAAAGGAGATGCTTATTCAAGACCAATGCTAAACCCAAGAAACCTTGGGACTTGCTTTTTCCAATTTGATTTGTACCACCTCAACATAGAGATGATGATGGATCAGACTGCTGTTACACTGCCTCGATATGTTATGAAATACAAAAAGCAAAACTGAATTGGACATGTCAGCCCTCTGTCTGAACTCAGCCTTAGAGTTTTATGAATGCATGTGGGCATTTTTCAGCCAGCATGGCTTTAATTTTGTGCTATGTGGGATCCATGGTATTTGCAGGCACAGCCTCCAGTGCAAGGGCTTTGTGGCAGATTTACTAATGTTTTGCATTGTTGCAAACTCAAATTTGACATTAAAAAATGGCTGTTTTGATTTACTGAATAAGTGCAATGGTCCTTTAGCGCTCATTAAATGATTAAAGAGGCTGTGGCTTTTTGTTTGCTTTTGCCTTATTTCATGTGCATTTACAGGAGTTTCCCTGTCAAAGTGCAAAATACTGAGATTATGATAATGAAGCACCTACTATGTTTACCAAGACTGACAGTAAAGACTGACTGTGTACTGTTTGAGCCCTGTAAAAAGCTTATCTTATTTTTGGTGCTAACATGGCTGCTATTATTTGTGCTGAGAGAAAAAAAAACGTTTTTCAAGCACATTTACTTGTTTTAGATTAAAAGAAAACATGTGTAAACATGTGCCATGTCAAATTGTTCTTGATGTGATGAAGGAAATAAGAGATACATAAATGAAACAGTTTTACTAAAATTTAAACTAGTAAAACTAAAAATTTTGATGTACTGTACAACACTTTTGCATAAACAATGGCAATAATAATAACTAATGACATTAATAAGAAATGTCACAGCCTTTTTCCTTGTACTGCATGTAGGTAAGATACTCTCAAAATCATACACTTCCCAAATGACCTGATTGTGTTGAGTGAAATTAAACTTTCTTTCTTTGCTTATTATAAGTCATCATTTCTACCTAATGAGTCACAGTTTGAAACTGAAATAGGCAAATCAAACGTCTTTTTTTCATTGCAGGAAACAGGTTTTCTACAAAACACATGTGAACCAAACATGGTTATATTGCGCAGCTCATGTCTTACAAAGTGCCTGTATTCATTTATATAGAGGTTTGTAGATAAGCTGCTAAATTGGCCACCCTCACCAGCACAATGTGTCAGCAGTCTATCAGTAATTAGCGCCTCTCTATTAGTAAATCTGCCCTTTTACAGTTCACAATTCAGCTTGAGAACACATTTTTATGGTGATGACTTTATTATAATATCTTTTTCTTGCTTGTCTTTCTCACTCTTTAGTATGTTACACTCAGTGGTTTGACCGGGACAACCCCAGTGGGGGAGATTATGAAACCCGGGCTCTACTGACAATGCAGTATCCAGGAAAGATCTGCCCTAAACCCAAGACCATTCAGGCTGCAACCCTCACTGGCGTACCTGCTGAAAGCATTGGACAAGTTTTTTCATCGTCTGTCTGATATTTACTACTTTACTGAGTGTGCTGTTGATATGTGCTGTTGTTCAAAGGTTTAGCATCATATTAATTGTTTTTTGCTTTTTTATTCAACAATAACTTCCTAAATAAAATACATTTGCAGTTTAGATAACATTCAGATCATAAAGTGTTTTCAGAACAATAAGATGTTATTAAATGATCATTACACTGTAGTTTTTTTTTTTTTATCTGAGATTGATCATTGAATATAAGCTATTTTTGATGTTATGCAGCTTGCTCCACCTACAGCTCTTTCATCATTCTGGACACATCTAAAATGTCTTTTTATAGCTTCCAAATAATTGTTTGAAGCCTGTGAAGTTGTAAAGGTCATATTAGAACTGTTTTTTAAATCTGCAGCAACATTGGTTTTACATTATTTTTGAAAACACTGAAAGGTTTTTAGAACATTTACCTTATTTTTGTGAGGTGTAATTGATGTGAATAATGAGTGTAAAGAAGAATTTTTTTCAATTATTTATTCTTTTACTTTCTGTGTCAGTTTCACCAATGCACACAAACTCTCACTCTCTCTCTCTCTCTCTCTCTCTCTGTCAGGTATGATGTTTCAACTGGCTTTATCTGCTTGAACCCTCAGCCGAATGGAGAGTGCTGCTTGGACTATAAGGTGCGCTTCGGATGCCCATGTCCCTGGCCCGTCATTATCAAGCCCAATGTCTCTCTAGCAGAGATTGCAGAAGATGCAGCCATTAACAGGACCATTATCTCTCAAACAGAGACTCCAGCAGACAACTAAACAGATACAACATTAAACATTTTTCTTATTTTTTTCAACTTTTAATCTCATATCTGGAAAAGTCATGCTACTGCAATATAGTGCTCTTACATGCTTGTGTTAATGGCCGTGTACTGTTTGCAAGTCCATTCCAGGCCAGTAAAGGATGTGAACATGTGGTCTGAGTGAGATACGAGAATGAGTCTTGTATTCAAAGTCATCAACACAAGTATGTATTTAGACTCTTGGGGTGTAATGGGATGGGTCCTATATTTTCTATGCTGCTTTCTGCCTAAAATTGTAGAATTCTAATTCATCTGGTTTGTGCTGAGTTGTTTATAACACTTTATTAATCCTCAAAGGGAAATTTGACTGACATAGAATATACATAAGCAAGGTAAAAATAGTAAAATGGGATAAGTAAATGTATAGCATAAAGTACTATACAACACTATACAATAAAACTATAAATATATGTACACACACACTCTATCTATCTATCTGAACATATAATAAGAGAAGTAGGACTGGAAGATGATGATTGAGGATTCAAGATTGGTGGAAGACACATCGGTGCTACTTTGTTAAGTGTCTCTAATAACTATGTAGTTGCGTATTAACAATAAATACAATATCAATGTAACTACTGGTGATATATTCACTCTTCCAGATGAATTGCAGGAGTACAGCCTATGTAAATATACATGTGTATCAATTTCAGTTTTTACTATCAATAGGAACAGCATACTTTCTCTTATGTAATTACACATTTGTAATAGTGTGAGGGTAATTACATTTGTATGAACTGCTGCTTTATAGATTTTCTGATTGTAACAGGAGGTGTGCAGTTAACTACATTATACTGCATCTGTACAGAATACTTACATCTTTACATCTAACATCTATTCTCTAAAGTGACTGTATTTATACAGCAACAGCAGATATCAATTACCTTTAAAATATGTATTTTTTGGTAGGCACTGTGAAATTACAAGTTCATATAAACTCATGTGACTTAAACAGGTTACCATGTAAGAACACAAGTACTCCACAGTAACTGTCAAGGTTACACTGTAAAATAAGGGCACGGTCTCTATGTAGTTGTCATATAGAATCAGTGAAATTACAAATTGATAATCCAGACATTGTCCTTGGGGTCGTATAATACAACACACACTCACTTTATGAGGAACACCTGTACACCTACTCATTCATACAATTTTCTAATCAGCCAGTCATGTTGCAGCAGTGCAGTGCTTCACGTCATGCAGATATCTGCCAGCAACTTCTGTGACAGTGAATACAGCAGCAGCACTTACATTGTTGTTGCCAGGCATGCGGGAAGATATTTTAAGTTAGGGGTGCTGAACTTACTGAATAATGTCATATGACATGATTTGTCTGTTTTCTTTCTTTTTTTTGTTGCTAATTTACATCAAACAGAACAGTGTTATAAAGTGTTGTAATGCAGGGAGAGATGACAACATAAATATTTAACTGAAACATCAAATCCATAACTGAAAAATCTTCACTCTGCTCTCTTGTTCTGGACAAACTTTATGCAAATCAACTGAGCGCCAACCAATAAGACTGTTATGCGGTGCAGTAACTGATTGTGTCACGCTCATGGTCACACAGTGAGATTTAACACTCCAATGCACCCTGAACTGAATATAATGGTTAGTTAAAAAATGCCATTATTACCTTAGTTGACTTTTTAAAGTTTAAAGCAACATTAGGTGGCTTTGGAACAGGCCAATAACTCTACATACGCTTTCCTTCTTTGCACTTCAACCTGCATGTGTTTTAGGAACTCGCCCAAAAAGCAGCCAACAGTTTCAAATCCGTGATAAAAATACAGCGTTCACTTAAATAATGCAGGGCTACTGCAGATTTTGAAAATGTAAAAATAGAAACTCTACTCAGAAACAAGCACATATGGGTTGGTACTATGCTCAAATTATTATGAAGTTCATGACATTTTATTTTTATTATGTTTTTTGCAGCTGCAATCCTGAACACTGGTGGTGCTGCTGCACCCTCAGCACCCCTGCTTACTGCATCCCTGGTTGTTGGATGTGTTGTTAATGTGTAACTACATAGTTAATAGATGCTTAAAATTAAGTAGGACCAAAACTTCAATAACCTTTGAAATGGAGATGACACTCAGAGATGAAAACCTGAAGGCTCTTATAAGGAAAGTTAAAGAACAGAAGAAAAGAAGACAAAAAGAGTGAAAAGATGTCTCTAGTTCAATATGAAGAAACAAAGGATATGGCAATGGGAAAGATGACCAGCTTTAACATTGATGATGAAGCTAAAGAAGTAATAGGCAGCTTTTGCCTGCTTGGTTCAGTCATTAACAACAAATGATCAGGCACTAACCAATCAAAATTATTTTGTAAATGCACAGAACTTTTTGGCAAGAGCAAAATATATCATTTTTTCTGTATCTTTTAAAAAATGTAACAATGTAACCCATACTCGTGTTTGCTGAACTACTAGCCAAGAGTACAAAGAAATGATAATATTATCACAGATGTGTTCTCAGCCTTGCATGAGTACAGACACGTGTTTCTAATTACATTGTGAGAATTGTTTTCAGCTAGTTTCTTTCGGTAATTGTGATCAGTACAAGTAGTATACAAAAGATGATGACTCACAATGACTAGGCTACATAAGCTATTGATGCAAATGCTCATCCACAAGTTGGTTTCTCTTCAATATGTTATCCATATTATTTCCACCCACTTGTGAAACCCATATCTCTACCAACTGGAAAGGACAAGGAATGCCTAATACTTCAGTATTTTACTCAGAAAGAACAGACATTCACAGTAAACATCATTTACAAAGCAGTGTCACTGTCCCTGCCTTTACTCTGAACAACACAGCCATTTATGCTGACTACAATTATGAATGACTGATGCAAAACTAGAAACAGTTCAAAAACAGCCACCTCAAAATAAACTTTTTATGAAAAAAATGAAAAGTTGACAGAGCTGTTCCTGTATGAAAATCAAGTCAGGCCTGTTTTGGTGAGGTGGACGTTTGCTCCTCAGCGCAGTAATCTTTGTCCATCAGTTTCATTGTAGCATGATTTCATGGACAAGTTACAGCATTTCCCACAATCGCACTGCGGCAGTCACATTCTCAATCAATGCTGCACAGGTAGCACATGCACAAAAATGACAATCTATATAGAAGAAATGCATCATGCATAATTAAATTGCCTTTAAAAAGTCAACATACTGTTTTTCATTTTCTTCTTATTATTATTCTACAGTTGAAATTCTGCAGTTTCTGAGCTAGAATCACAAAACTATGCGGTGTCGTAGAACATCACAAGTTTTGTTTGTTTAACAAATTGACCTTAACAATCACCTTGGATAGAATACCATTGGCCTATCACCCACATGGGATCCTGCTGCCAAAAAGGAAAACAAAAGTTTTATAACTGTCTTGCCTAAACCTGTAACTGACATAATAAAATGCTTGCTTTTATAAAGCGACCCTTCATAGACATTTCCACCTGTAAAGGCTTCTAAAAGTAAAGTCAAACATTCAGCCATGTGTCTTAGCAAAGCATTTGCCACCGGGCCTAACCCAGAATGTCATCAAAGCTCTCAAAAAATTCCATAGCAATGGCCTAGCAACACCTTAGCAACCACATTGGACAGCATACCGACAGCCTAGTAACACTTTAGCAAACACCTGGGATACCATAGCAAATACCATAGCAGTGACCTAGCAACAACTTAGGAACCACCTGCGATACCCTAGCAATGGCCTAGCAACACCTTAGCAACCACCTGGGATACTACAGCAAATACCATAGCAATGGCCTAGCAACAACTTAAGAACTACCTGCGATACCATAGCAATGGCCTAGCAACACCTTAGCAGCCACCTGGAATACCATAACAATGGCCTAGCAACAAGTTAGGAAACCAGTGGCAATGGCCTAGCAACACCTTAGCAACCACCTGGAATAACCTAGGATTGGCCTAGCTACACCTTAGCAACCACTTGGGATGGCCTAGCAACAGCTTAGCAACACAATAGCAACTATGTGAAATTACTACATAAACCAAATCATGTTATCAAAAACAATCAACACTATTAACATGCTATATACTATAAATGTAAAGACAAATTTAACAATCCATCAGATGCACATTATCCTGTAGCCTAACTGCTGCACAATAATCAGATTTCTGTTCATAATTACCATCAAAAAGAAAAGCAAAAGCTTTATAGCTGCTTTGCCTAAACCTGTAAATGACATAAAAAATTCTTGCTATTAAAAACAATGACCAATAAATGATATATTTCACCATATGTCTCTCCTCCCAATGTAAAGTGGGCAGTCCTAATCTTGGGTAACACTTCTGTAAGCATTCCCCTTACCATTCACAAGGCTGAGGTCTCTTGCTCCGCCCACACAAAACAGTTTCAGAGTCAGAGAAACTTAGTGAGCTAAAGCTAATCCAACATAACCAAAAGCTAGCATGCTAGATGACCTGTCTGTAGCTGCCTGTTGGCCCGTTGATTTATTTCTCCATACACAAACATTGTTTGTTCATCCATTCCTTTATTCACGCTTTGCTGAGTTCATCTGTTTGTTCGTCCGTTCCTTCGTGTGTTGCTTCATCTGTCTGTTTGTTCGTCCATCCATCTGCACAATTGTGCATCTGTCCATCCACATCTGTTTGTCTGTGACTTTTCGTCCAATTACCATCACATAAGAGATGGATAACGATTTTAACGATTATTTTTTCTGTATAAGTGGCAGATCAGGTTAGGAGTGTTGAACAGGGAGTTGTCAATCAAGCCCACGCCCACACAGTTCTTAGATAGGTCTGATGAGCGAGTTTTGAGCCGTGTTTTATCAAATTTAGATCTTGTTTTGTTCTTTCAAACTGTGCTGGATGTTTAATATAACATTCAAGTTTAGTATCATACAATCAGTTTTAATATTTTACCTGGGACTTTAAAGGTTTATAGAGGTCAAGTCAAACATTCAGGCACATGTCTTAGCAGAGTGTTTGTCACTAGGCCTAACCCAGAACGTCATCAAAGCTCTCAAAACACAGTCAAACACAAAGGTCAGGGATTCTTAATTTCACATCATCAGCAAGAATTACAAGGATTACCAGTAGTACTACCCACCCTTCTTAAACAGGCCTGTTGCCAGATGGCAGAACATTAGTATTATAATGAGTATTGAGGTCATCAACAAAAGCAAACAGGTAGCTTTTGTAATGTGATCTCCTCCCTGTTTGTCTCACAGGTTTGGGTGGAGTGGGAATAGTCTGCCACCTGAACTTCCCCCAACCTCTTCTAATTGGTGGTCTGGCAAATGCTCCAGCCTTCTGGGCAGTGGTCCTGAGTTAAGTGAGTGAGTCTTGGAACGCTAAAGCCTAGCTCCAGGCCATGGGCTAAAAGAATGGGAGATGGAGAAGTGAAGCTAACATGTGGCAGTGCGCTTCCTTGCATCTTAATTAGTGGAGAAAGATGGGGGAGGCATGTGGTGATCAGTAGCCAAAGCAAACAGATCATCTGTTTCTCGAGACTGAGGAGGCTGTAAGAAATAGATATAAAGCAAATGCTGGGAAATAAATAACTTTGTCTCATTAAAGA